ATAATTACTATTATTATTGTTATTATCATCACCTTATTAATGCATGAGTTCTTAACTTTTAGCCTTATTTTCATATAATTATAACTTTCTTTTCTGGTTGTATAAAATAAAAAGTTCCGCATGTCTTTTTTCTTCAGTAAACTTATATTTTGGTATTGGTGACCGATTTTAGTTTTGCCCAACGAGTTGGGTGCTGTGCATGAATGTGTACGTGAAAATGTGAACTCAGTAAACTAACAAAATATGTAAACTATAACAATATTTCGAAGTTCAAGAGACTGGAGATAATATAAGCCATTAAAACTTCAAATATTGTGAATACGTTGTGAAATAAAACGAGTTTGAAATAGATGTAGATCTCAGAGCCGGAAAAGAGGACTATTCTGACATTCAATGGCATATTTCCTCATGCAGAGAGCAAGGAGGCATTGTTCGAATACTTTCTTGGTATAGCCCTTACACAATCTGCATCTTTTCTGAGTTAGTAGAGACATCAAGAAATACACTCCTGCATCCTTCTTTTTAACTTAAGATCCAATCGATCTTTCTATTCTGCCCGGAACAGGTTACGTATTGCTGCCTTCCTGTGTCTAAATAAATAGTCTACGTCTGGGTCTTTTGATCTAATTCATAAAAGAAGAAAAAAAAGCCAGTACGTTGACTGCTGCAGCTGATGACCATCATTTATTCTTTAATTTTTGGAAAGCGGATGGTAGGGGGGGGGGGGATGCAGGAGTTTTATTAGTGCACATGCTTATGAAGACAGTTTAGGTCATGTAGAAGGTTTATAATTTCTATCTTGCCTGTGGCGGCCACACCGGGTTGAGAGACACACAACGTCCCAGCAGAGACACTGTGATAAGCCCGCTTGTCCACCAGAACAGAACTGACCCATTTTTTTGGGTCTGTTTGTGTCCTGTGTATTTGTTCACCAATGTGTGAATAGCTCTGAAGACACGATGCCATTTCTTGTTATCGGGTTACAAATAGTGAAGAAGTAAATGGACGCAAGAC